CATGACCCTCTCTCCCTCTAGATCAGCACATGAGCGTTGTAGCTATTGCATAGAAGTAGGTTTTTGAATTAATGGTTTATTTTGCTGAATTGTTTACTTCTTACAGTGCAGGGAACTAATTTTGTTACATAAACCAGCATCAGCATAATCATTAGTAGCATCAGGATCGAGCTAGCATCAGCATTTAAAAAACAGCATTACCAGGATCAGCATCAGCAAGCAAAGGATAAAACAAGCATTGACCTACATAAAATCAGCATTATCCTACTAGCATCAGAAAATCAATGAGTTTTAATTCAGTAAAAAATTAAAAAAGAAAGAAAGAATATTGGTTAAAGTATTCACATTATTAATACATAGTGAGTTATTATGATCAAATAATTGTAAACGGCACTTTTATTGCTTTAAACGGCAATGCTGAAATTCATTATCTACTTCCGGTACAGTGCAGGGAACTAATTTTGTTACATAAACCAGCATCAGCATAAGCATTAGTAGCATCAGGATCGAGCTAGCATCAGCATCAGCATTTAAAAAACAGCATTAACAGGATCAGCATCAGCAAGCAAAGGATAAAACCAGCATTGACCTACATAAAATCAGCATTATTCTACTAGCATCAGAAAATCAATGAGTTTTAATTCAGTAAAAAATCAAAAAGGAAAGAAAGAATGTTGGTTAAAGTATTCACATTATTGATACATAATGAGATATTATGATCAAATAATTGTAAAAGGCACTTTTATTGTTTTAAACGGCAATGCTGAAATTCATTATCTACTTCCGGTAGCATGATGCTACTTCCGGTAGCATTGACCTAATTATAAAACAGCATCAGGATAAGGATTACTAGCATTAAATCAGCAAGCAAAGGAAGCATTCAAATCAGCAAGCAAAGGAAGCATTCAAATCAGCATCGATGCTGTAACAAAATTAGTTTCCTGCACTGTAGCATGATGCTACTTCCGGTAGCATTGACCTAATTATAAAACAGCATCAGGATAAGGATAACTAGCATTAAATCAGCAAGCAAAGGAAGCATTCAAATCAGCAAGCAAAGGAAGCATTCAAATCAGCATTGATGCTGTAACAAAATTAGTTTCCTGCACTGTAATAGGTAGACAGTGCTTCACTTGGGGGGGGGGGGGGGGGGCAGAGAGGTAATGCATCATGGTGAAACTCGAGAGCCCTTCATGTGGACACTGGCATCACTGACTGAGCTAGTCCGAAATATCTGACGTTTTCCGGGCTTTTTTTTTACGATTTTGATATTTTACGTACCAGGAAAACCTCATAACCGGCGCCATTACGAAAACTGGAAATTTCACTGACTCCAACCGGAGTTGATTTTCGATACTTGCGAACCGATTTTAATGCCGAACTCACAATTTATCAATAGTACAATGCTTCTAGTACTCACCAATATCGATGAAAAGAAAACATCATTCCAAATTTCGATACGGGACTTGCAAGATTTTAAAATGCACGAAATGAAAACAAATCTCGACAGCCAGATAAAATGTTTTCATCGGATTGTATACCGTATAGCGGGTTATTTTAGCGGGGTGATAATTTTGGCTTATTTTAGCGTTTTGGTAGTAACCCACTAAAATTTTAATCGCTATAATATTCAGTATTCTTCTTAGTCTTCTTATGCTGTCTGGAACAGCTAGCTAAACCTCACACCTCACACTTGATCATTGAAGAACACATGGTAACTGGTTCCATATTTATTAACAAGCGAATTCATATTCCAATCAGTGAATGAGCGAATGAACCTAGGTGAGTGAGACAAAGTGAGCCTAAGTGAGCGAGTGAGTCTACACGAGCGAGTGAGCGAATGAGGTAAATAACTGAAATAAACAAAATCAAATACTATAATACTGATATACCAAAAAGACAATAACGGTGTTCCATAGAAATAGCTCACTTATAAACCTTATCATAATAACAAATTACTATAAAGCATACAAGATAAATTGAATAACAATAACTAATTCTCGTGACTTCAGTGACTTTAAACTTTACAAAAAATACCGGTCTGAATAAGTTTTCAATACACAAAAACTCTATAAATAATCACCAAACAACTTTACAAATAATAAGTATGAAGTTACAAAAGTTTCCTATAAAAACTTACATGGTAATAGGCCACAAATCGTAATAAGGTAGAATGTTACATGTACATCATCACGGATGGAACTCTAATGGCAGACTGAATGAAAACTTGCACGAGAAAATGAGGGAGATAACTCCTGACACAAAAGATTTCCACTCAACGAAGATAATTCAAAAATTTACAAAGAAGGATAACTCTTTCTGATATCTGAATAATACACGTATTTCACTCCGTATAATTACACAAAAAAGCAAACAAAAATAAATGAAAAATAAGAACTGTGACAGCACACTTCTTTTGCAACGTGTTTAAACCCTGTGTCCGCTAAAATAAATTACGCCAAAATTAATGGCATACATATGAGCAAGCAAAACGCCAAATTTTACACCCGCCAAGAAAACCCGCTATACGGTATTTTATAAACGAACCAAAAACCGATGTTGGTGAGTACTAAAAGTACTGTATTTTTTATAAGTTGTGAGTTTAACATTTAGTTCGGCTCGCAAGTATGGAAAATCAACCCGAGAATGCCGCCTCCAGTTGGAGGCGGCGAATTCCCAGTTCTCGTAATGGCGCCGGTTCTGACGTTTTCCTGGCACGTAAAATATCAAAATCGTAAAAAAAGCCCGGAAAACGTAAGATATTTCGGACTATGACTGAGCATGCGTCTGTTTATTATATAGAATCAGAAAAGTACCTATAGCATTGTTGTCATTTAGGTCTACAGTAATTTCAATGTTGAAATGGAAGATTTTTTTTAAAGAAATATGTTATGGTTGAAAAGAAACGATCAAAGTTTAAGTTTATTAAACTTCGAGGTTTTCGTCATAAGGTTGAAAATCGTAATGCATTTGAAAAGGTCTTGTCACGGGTAATGCACAGATGAAAAAAAAAGTTTATTCTGGGGCAAAGGTTACGGCCAGAGTTAAAACTTTTGAGGATACGTCAAATTTCAAGGTAAAGGTCACGAGAGGTTTTGTCAAGGGCAATGCACAGGTAAAATATGAAAGTCCTGTGTCTTCAAGTGCAAAAGCTACCGACAAGGTTAGAATTTTTTTAAAAAGAATAGCCTGGTCAAAAAAAGGTCAGGGTCATAAATTATAGTACAAAAGGAAAGGTCTTCTCACAGATAATGCATATGTAAGATATGAAAGTCCCGTCTTAGGTTCAAAAGTCACAACCAAAATTATTTTTTAAGTAGGTAAAAGGTCAGCTGAAGGTCATAAAGTAAAAATTTACAGTACTTCAAAAAAGTCCTGTCGCTGATAATGTACGTGTGAAATATATTTCATTTAAATTAAAACTTTTGAAAAGTATGTCAAACTTTATTGATCAAGGTCATAAGGTCAAAATCAAAGAATATTCTTTAATTTCTTGTAACAGATAATGCAGATGTGATTCTTAGAGCCCTATCTTTTCTTATTTAAAATGATAACCAGTTAATTATTTTTTTAAGTTGGTCAAACTTAAGGTAAAAAATCATAGTAAATATTTTTAAGTACAGGGTTCACATAAGAATCATGCAATAAGTAATAAGTCGATGTATTTAGATTGTTTTTTTCATATTTTGATGTTAGTAATAAAGCCAATATCAGAAATGTAAACTTATTTTAAGATTTCCTAGGTGACTGTTTCCATGACAATGACTTGCAACTTTAAGGGACACAAGTACAAATTTAAAGAAAAATACTGAAATTTTGCACTTTTGAAACTATGTTTTTAAGTAGATTTTTAATAAATTAATGATATCAGTTTTTTTCTATTGATTAACCAAGTAACTACGGAAGCCCGCTGAGGCCAGTTCAGAGAAAGAAAACAAATTTATGTCAATAAATAGTTTATGCATGTTGACCAGGACACGTGTATTTGTTTATGTTTACTTTGATGTTGTCTTTTGATAGGTATTTTTAGTTCAAGCATGCGCACTTGATTTTTATGCATATTAGCTAGTCGGCGCATGCGCATTCATAGTCCCTTATGTAAACATCCACAATATTTTTACTGTCTGTAAAGGAGCGTTTTATGTGCTTATGCGATATCTATAACGACTTTCCATCGACCCTATAAAGTTTATAACAACGCCAAGGATACGTAGTACATAGTTCCAAAGGTAATTGTCGTACATATACCCCCCTTTGTGTGATTTATCGATAGCATCGGTTCTACGGCCCATTCTGTGCAAATGGCGCGCAGTGACGCTACAGGCTAAACAGACATTGTTTCGGGATTCTTCAGTGCGAGGCATCAACTGGACATAATGTGTTTATTTATCTCGCCGCTCGAACATTTGACTAATCTTGGTTACGTGTGAATGAATTTACTTATCCAGTCGTTTCTTGTTTGCTTGACGATGTCAGCCTTGATAGTGGGAGACTCCCATGTGAAAAGACTGAAGTCATTCTTAGGCACAGACCGTCCAGCTGATTCTGTTTTTGATATATCTGGATTGAAGGAAGTAAACTATTTTGGTATAAGCGGTGGACTTGTAGACAATAATCGCCATTTGTCTTTAATTGTATCTGCAGCTAGGCGATATAAACCACAACACCTTATTGTTTTTATCGGGGGTAATGACCTAGATTCATGTGACCTAGATTACAGTGTGGATTGTACAGTGGCTAAACTGACTGCATTTTTAACGCAGCTTAAACGAGGATTTCGTCTGATATCAGTTACTGTGCTAAGTTTCATTCCAAGATATTCGCTTAGGAATATAGACAATTTCTCATATAACCAGCGGGTCAAAGAAGCTAACCTTCATCTTAAAGACTATTGTACTAGCCACGGTCTAGTGTTCTGGAAACTTAAAGGTTTTTCTGAAAGTCGTGATCCAATTCTGTGTGATGGGGTGCACCTTAATAATTTAGGGCATCATAAACTCTACAGACAGATAAGGGGCGTGTTATTGGCTCTACACAGACAGTAATCTACATCTACAGCAAAACAGCATTGAAGACAGGGGCTTCTAGCTGTAAATATTGCTGTGCAAACAATTTTTATTAACACTTTAACTTAATAATTAATGGACAATCAATTTTAAGAATGTTAAATGTTTTTAACAATGTGCAAATACTTAATAGAGTTAGTAATGTAAAATATTACTTGGTCAATTTTACACACCATTTAGTTTAGCGCTATGCATCTTTCGAGTGTATCTTTATTGAAATCAGGTATAATTTTCAAGTTTTAATTACCCATGCTAACATGCTTTATCTATTTCAGTAAAAGGTGTAAATTAAGAACTGCAGACAACAGCATCCAAACACGTATATATATATTTGTCTGGAAACAGGTAACTGCTTCGATTTTAGTACACTTTTACACTCAAATTTAGGATAGCATTCCCTGGTTGCTATAGTTGGCACTAGCTATTGAAACTCAGCTGTGTACAATTTTTGCTGCAGCTAAAGAGCTACATGTATAAGGGCCTTTCGATGCCTGGTATATTTGCATCATTAACATGTTTACTTGAAGCTTCACTGCTATGCTATTCCTGCTAAATTTGCATTATTTGCAATGTTTACTTGAAACCTCGGTGCCATGTTATTCCCAGTATATTTGCATTATTTGCAATGTTTACATGCTATGTTATTCCTGATGTATTGGCATTATTTGCAACATTTATATTAAGCCTCAGTGCTATGTTATAATTGCATTATTTGCTATGTTTACATGAAGCCCCAGTGCTATGTTATTCTCGATACATTTGCATTATTTACAACATTTACATTTAGCCTCAGTGCTATGTTATTTCTAGCTTATTTGCAATGTTTACTTTTAGCCTCAGTGCTATGTTATCTCCAGTTTCATTTGCATTGTTTGCAATGTCTATATTAAGCCTCAGTGCTATGTTATGCCTGGTGTATGGGCATTGTTTGCTGTTAATTTGAAGGTCACAGTGCTATGTTAAGCGACTGGTCGGTCTATGCTAATGATACATTGTACCTACAACATGGTAGTTTAAGCTTGAATGCTATATTGACAAATGTAGGTACATGTTTTACTTATTAATTATGACATAAGATCCTTTTACCTGCACAAGCTTAAGTGCAGTTACTTAAAGTAAAACATGCTTTGTCTGGTAATGATTCCTAAATTGATTTACCAGCTATATGTCATATTCTCTAGACTTAATGCTTGATGTTTATGTTGAATGGTTGAAAACTTCAAACCATGTATGATGTATATATATACTATGAATCCAACCATTCAGTACGAGTAGCAGGATTGTCTTTATTTCATCTATATATTTTGCTTTCACCAGATGGCGTCAACACCCAAGAGGAGGAAGAGAAGCAAAGGAGCCTCGGCCAATACCAGCGATGGCCATCAGATTCCCCCCACTGCAGGAATGCCGCAAGGAGACCAGGAAGAAATGATACGGTCCTGTATGGCTTCAATCCTACCATCTATTGAGGACTCTTTTAGGCGTTATATGGCTGACTATCATAGCAGAAGTAGCCAGACGCAGACCAATCCTTCTACCATCGTAGCACAGCTTGGACAGCCCCAGTCAGCGGCGTCTGATTCAGTCCCTTCTGAGACCGTGCCAACCAACCCTCCACTGTTCCAGGAAATTACCGCACAAGGTAACCCTTTGCCTGAACAAGCTAAAGAGGGGGACTCACACCCTGCAACAGGCCTAACATTGGGGGTAGACATTAAAATAAGGGCCAAAATCCATGCCAACGAATTCGTTAAATTTGCTACCCTATTGCCCAATGACCTTGATTATGAAGAAACTGAAAAGTATAAGTCAGTAGATAAAGATGGTCAGTTAATCTTCGTTAAGACAAATGAAAAAGGTTCATTGAAAACAATCAACAAGTGGATCGAGGCCTTCCACATATTTGTAGCCATTTATGCGGAGAAATTCCCCCATGAAATTGGTAAACTGATGACCTACGCACACACTGTGCAAAAAATCGCCGACTCTTGTGGGGATCGAGCGGCCTTACTGTATGACGAAAAATTTCGGCGTTGGCGCGAAAAAGAACCTTCCTCGTGTGCATGGGATAAGAAAAATATTGAACTATATCAAGAAGCTTTAGTCTTGGGCCTAGACTTCAAGCTTAAAAGCAAGAAACAGCCCTTTCGTGCCCAATCCAAGCAACATAGCTACTGCTACTCCTACAACAATCTTTATGTTTACTTTGATGTTGTCTTTTGATAGGTATTTTTAGTTCAAGCATGCGCACTTGATTTTTATGCATATTAGCTAGTCGGCGCATGCGCATTCATAGTCCCTTATGTAAACATCCACAATATTTTTACTGTCTGCCACCACCCTCCCCTCCACCTTCATTTCATTTTTACAACCAATTGGGCAGATGAACACCCCATATCACTGCTTTGTTTAGGACATACTTTATATCTAGTCCTTCCAATGGCCAAAACTTTGTTGCATAATATTTTTACTAGTCCGTACATTTCCCAGGATACAACTGGGTGATAGTTTTGTAATGTTTTTGTATGTATATATATATGTTTTTGATTTATTGTCATTTATTGAAGGAGTGTTGTATTTTGTACCTGTCGCAACACATCACATGTTCTTGATTTTGGTGTAATATTCTTTTTGCGACTTTTTACATGGTTTTATGTTTTATGCAGCTCTTATGCTTTGTGCTCCTTAATAAATGACCATTTTTATTCTTTATATGGGAGTTGAGTCTTCTTATTTATATGGAATATGGGAAGGCAGGCATAAATATTTTTATTACGTTTAAACGCAATAATTATTGCGTTTAAACGCAAAACATTGCGTTTAATCGCAATAATCATTGCGTTTAAACGCAAAAGATTGCGATTAATCGCAATCTTTTGCGATTAAACGCAAAGTGTTTTGCGATTAAACGCAATCTTTTGCGTTGAAACGCAATACTTATTGCATTTAAACGCAATAAAAAATATTTCTTTCTCTGAACTGGCCTCAACGGGCTTCCGTAAGTAACAGTCTTTTCAAGATTTTTTTTTTGGTAGAGGCTTCTTTTAACTTTTTCCAACAAGCTCCAGATACTAACGTGTGAAAAATATGGAAAGTTTAGTAATTTTATCAAAATATCACAAAGGAATGCATAAAAGTGGACATTTCCCAAATTTATTTTATTCTGAGTTTTATTTGAAATAAAAGACAAACAATAGAGAAGCACATAATTATCATGAATCTCATACTTGACAAATTCTGATTTTCATAGCAACCAACAATTTAATTTTGCAATATTTCTTTAATATTTCATGTTTTTCCTGCCTTGGCAGCAAGAACTTCACTGTTTAACTTCAATATTTACTTCTAAAATGTCACATCTATATCATAAATAAACAATTCTGTGTCTTTATAGTAAGTATGATATTGTCACAGGTAATGCACGAGTGAAATATGAAAGCCATAACAGTTATGGCCAAGGTTAATCTTTCTGTGACAGAGAGACGAACGCACAAATGAAATTCAATGATGCAGAGCTTTTGCGAATGCGGGGGACAAACACGTATATATACATTACATATTCATGAACGCAATGGAAGTTAATGTATTTCATATTTCACAAATGATAAAACTTAAGAAAAATTATGATTCCTCCATTTTGTCGCCCGCTTTCACAGAAAGTGGGGGATATTAATTTGGGTCCGTCTGTCCGTCCGTCCGTCCGCATTTCTGTACATCTGTAACACTTTCGTAACACTTTCGAGAAGCCTTTGATCTTTTGCAATGAAATTTTACATACCAACGCCCTATTGCATAAAGAATCTTGACCTCTATTGATTTTTAGTTCTAAAGGTGTCAAAGATCAAGGTCTTAAATTCTAAAATTTTGTGTGTTTTAACACTCGTTTCCGCGGGATATCTTAAGATGTCTTTGAGCTTGAGCAATGTAATTTTATACCATAACTCTCAAGGGCGCCGCCCACCCCTCTCAAGGTGCTCAGCCCCTTTTTTTAATTTTGGCCTTTTTTCAAAAGTCATTTGGAAATTTGTTGGATCGATCACGCTCAAAGTTTAGAGTTAATCCCCGTTTGCATTAAAAGACGCGTATCAGTTATTACATACAATGCAGGTTGTCAGCAAACTTTATATTCTAAATATTCTTTACTTTTTCTCCCTCAAAATTGCATGTACATTCAAGTTTGTAGCCAAGTCATTTTTCAAGTGAAGAAAATGGAAATACATGTAGTGAAAATATGGCGAGACAATTCAAAGACCCTGGCTAAAAAAGACAATACAGTGGTGTCGCGGTAATCCGGACGCTTCACCTTCCGGACGATATTTTTTTGGGAACCGATTTTTTCCACGTTATTCTGTCTCATTAATCCGGAAATTCGCGTTCCGGATCCGGACGGTCAATTTCTACTACAAAACGCAATATTTCATTGAAAAATGACTCGTTTATCCGGACGGTAATTTTTCGAGGAACGACTTTTAACACCTTTCTTGCAGTAGTGATAATTATTGTAAAAACATTGTCCGTGGAGTCAGTTTGAAGGCGGTTACCTGTGACCTCTAAACAATAGCGTCTATAATTAGCGTGTGTTTACCTCAGCTAAAACACACGTCTTTTATATTATAAAGCCCGAAGAATTTAGCTTATACTGTGTATTAATTAAATTGCTAACGTATATAAATTTATGAGAATTTTGGAGAGTTGTAAATTAAAATTTTTACTGAATAATAAATCACGAGATTTCGTCGTGGTATCGAGTTACGTAAGTTTATCAAAATACGATCGTACATTATTTGAAACTTTTTTTTCTTTTCATAAAACAATTTATTATGATACATAATTCAAGAAAATATATTTCTATTAATGCACTAAGAAATACGTAACTGGCGTTAGTTATAAATGCCGATCACGTCTTTTCAAGATACATAACTTAGAGTTTCTAGAAAAAGTATTGATAATCCTGAATATGGCTTGTGTTTACGTTGATTGTTTGCAATACGTACACTGATTGCAGTATTTAGTTACTTACTTCCCTATGTAGTGAATATACGCGGTTAATCATTTGAACATTCTCAATGGTGATAATGAACAGTTCTACTTAATATGAGCTTCAATAAATATAAAAAAAAAAGTGCCGAAATAAAACAGTAGCAGATCAAAATTTGATCAGCCCATGTAACTACATGTCAAATAGAAGGCGAATAAAGTTTCCTGTGTTAGAAAAGGAAGTCTCAACATAAAACTGCCTATCCATTTTTCATCGTGTAAATTACATTTTAATTTTTTTCTTTTTTTAAATATCTATTATTTCTTTTAAAACTATAAAAATAAAATCAATAAGTCAAGGTAAAATAAAGGTGTTTTCTTTGCCTTCACATTTGATACCACTATCCTCATATGTATATGATTTAAGAGGGTACACCTTTTAAGAAGTGATTCACTTATCCGGACAATTCATTTATCCGGACGATTTCGTTGGAGACGGAGGTGTCCGGATTAACGAGGCGCCACTGTACTTACCTGAAAGCTTCCTTATATAGTATTGATTTAAGCTTGTTTAAATCATTTACCTGTGATCTCAGTTTCGGTCTGCAAGTCAAAGTTTGAATTAGGAATAACGTAAAAATCTTAAAACTTCTATGCAACAATAAGTCATCTTGATATTTAAGTATCTTAATGTATGTACTATGTAGATTAGTTTGCTCAATTCATGATCCACGAGACAAGGGTGAGACTACTATAGATGGTAAAACCTACTTACTAGTAGGCTAATAGAAAAAAAGGACCAAAGCATCCTTATGTAGTGCAGATTCAAGTTTGTTCAAATCCCATGAATCTAGGTCGGACATCATTTATTTAGAGGTTCAAAGTTTAAATGGACATACAAAAATATATTGTATTCTTTTCCTGAAGAACTGAAGTGCCATATTAGTCGAGCCCCTGGCAATTCCACCTTTAAATACTATATAATATGTCATTACTCTCCGATATGCCCTTTAAGAGTTGAATTCAATTAATGTAACTTAGTATTGAAATGGTTTCTGGTCAACCGTTCAGTCAGCTGTAAATGTGTAGCGGTGTATCTGAGACTTTCGTCACCTGTTATCCCCTCGTAATCCTAACCCGTGTCCTGATACATGTAAACGTTAGTGATGACGAGACTTATCTTTCTGTCGTTAACCATCTTGGAATTATGCACGATGAGTGAGGCTTCAATAGAAGAATACAAGAAACTCAAAAAGTCTCTAATGACCAACTACTCAAAGGACATCCGACCTGTTTATGACCAAGATGAAACAGTAAATATTTATATGGTGTTTTATCTGTCGAACATTAACGAATTGGACGCTGTCCAGCAGCGGCTGGTGACCACTGCACACCTTGGTATTTCCTGGACAGATGAGTTTCTTCAGTGGGACGAAGCCAGTACAGGGATCGAAGCTATGTACTTAAAACAGGTAATTTTCTAAATATATTTATATTTTAAAAGTAAGATTGTATTTCTCTCCTCATTGCCCCTATTCCAATAAATCATTGGCTAGTTAATAATTGACTTATGGTCAGCAGGCATGGAGCAAAACATGCATGATCAAATATTATAAATGCTACGCAAACTTCAATATTATACATTTATTGACTGGGTTTAAAGGCAACATGCGTTTTGTCGGACCCAAGGACCAAACTGTTTGCCTGAGGCCGTTAGTTCGAAGGCAAACAGTTTGGTTCGACGGGTCGACAAAACGCATTTTGCCAGAGAACACAGTCAATAAATGTTTTGTTATACCTTTTATTCATTTTTTTTGACATACATGTACATGTATGTCGAACACCAACGAATGCAAATGAGATTTAGCTGACCATGCCCATTGTGTGACGCAAGCGGTCCAACATCTCATCGACAGGTCCAATATCTCACTCAGCGGTCAAACATCAATTTTTTTTATGACCGCTCAGTAAAACATTGGAAATGTTAGACTTTTCTTTGTATTGATTTATATAGGAACAAATTTTTAAAGGTATAACAAAACAAACGCATTTAATACATAAATTAATCATCATCATTAATGATGTTTCACGTTCGACAATATCAAAATTTTACACACCATATTGTTCTAATTTAGCCTTTGCGAAAGAGTTCTAATAGATGTAATTAGAATATCATGTCCGCCAACAACCTATATTATACATGTATGTAATAACTCTCCCCATGCTCCTGTGCTAAATATAGTACCACGCGACTTTTAGTAACTCTTAAACTTTGAGCGTGATCGATGCCAACAAATTTCAAATTGACTTTTGAAAAAAAAATGACCAAAATAAAAAAAAAAAAACGGGCTCGATACTTTGAGAGAAGCGGGCGGGGCCATAGGGAGTTTCGGTATAAAATTTCATTGCAAAAGCTCAAAGGCTTCTCCAGATATCCCGCGGAAACGAAAGTGTTACAGAAGACAGAAATGCAGACGGACGGACGGACAAACAACCCCAAATTATTATCCCCCATTTTCAGTGAAAGCGGGGGACAAAAAGAAAGCAAATTTATTTTATTGATGAGGCCTTCAAACGTCTGGTGACCTTTTTGGGGCTTGTCAAGATGTTTTGGTAGACTGTCCCCCAACTGAAATTGCTTGCTACGGGCCTGGTATTCGATCAGAGTATCATTTCTGCCCCAAATTGTTTATAAATACATTCTTTGATATATAATAGCGTTGCTTTTGGAGAAC